TTGTTGTTGTTGTTGTTGTTGTTCTCAACAATGGAATCAACGCCAAGTGGTGACCCAAGCAGCTCATGCCCATCTCCTTCACGCAAATGTTGAGCTCATCGGTCAGCGAGCAACGGAAGATTGCCTTGGCGACCAAACATATACGAGAAAGGCTTGGAGGCGACCTGCCGGCATGAAAAGGTGGACAGGAGGCGCATACGCACACACTTGCCAGTGGGGGAGTGGGGGCTCAGGACCTGCCCCGCTGTGTAGACCACTAGATCGACCGAAGTCAAAGCTCCAAGTCCACCACACACCTCCCATCAGCACACTGACCTCCCAACCAACCCAAGAGAGGTTAAGTCGGGGTACCTATGGCATACAATTGGGTCTATCCGAGTCTACCTATAACAGTGGATGATGATGCTTAGTAAAGGCCTTGTCCAAAAAAGTCATAAGTGTGAAACACAGGTCCTGTTACAGGTATATAGTACAGGACAAACCCAAGTCTATCCTAATAGTCTCTCGCACCCGCCCAGCGGCCGGATCGTCCGAGTTGATGGAGCAACTCGTCCGCTCCGCCACGAAGCGTCGGATGGGATGGGTCGCCCAACCTTGAATGGGATGAGTCGACGGGGTCGGCCTAGGCCTTGGGGTCGGTGGCCGGTGGCCGGGGGTCGTGGAAGAAAAGGCCTCAAACCAACCAGGGGGAGAGCATTACGGGGTGAGGCAGGGCCCCCATGGTGAAGAACTCTTCCAAAGATCCATGTTTCGTTCCACGGATTCATGCACTATAGCAGTTCTACTTGCTTTCACCCCTCGGTCGTGCCACCTCCGCTTTCGATCCTCAACGCCTCTCGGATCGTCGGGTCGTGGCGGGCCATGGGGGTCGTGACTGCCAGCTCCGGACTACCGGATCGAAACGGCCAGGGGTGGTTTATTCAGGGGTCAATTGATCGGCAGTCCGGACTGTCAGTCCCAAACACGTCATGTTTGGGACCGAGAATCGATAGACTACGAGACATGGTCGATCGACGTTTTCGGAAAGGCGACATGACCCAGGGGCGACACGGGTATCCAGCGACCGCCGAACAGTAGGATGGTCCATCCATTGAAATAACAATTGGCTACTTGATGATACCCTAAACCTCCTA